GAAAAGAGGAGACTAAGGGGGAATATGATAAAGGTATATAAAATCATGAGTGGTGTGGAGAAAGTGAATAAGGAAAAGTTATTTACTTGTTCCCATAATATAAGAACTAGGGGCCACCCAAATGAAATTAATGGGCAGCAGGTTTAAAACAAATAAAAGGACATTCCTCTTCACACAGCTCACAGTCAACCTGTGGAACTCCTTGCCTGAGGAGGTTGTGAAGGCTAGGACTATAACAGGGTTTAAAAGAGAACTAGATAAATTCATGGAGGTGAAGTCCATTAATGGCTATGAGCCAGGATGGGTAAGGAATGGTGCCCCTAGCCTCTGTTTGTCAGAGGGTGGAGATGGATGGCAGGAGAGAGATCACTTGATCATTACCTGTTAGGTTCACTCCCTCTGGGACATCTGGCATTGGCCACTGTCAGCAGACAGGATACTGGGCTGGATGGGCCTTTGGTCTGACCCAGTATAGCCGTTCTTATGTACACACACAGACACAGAATTCTGTCTTCCTCTCCCTCCTGGGTGTAAAACAGCACTGCTGATTATCTGCTGACTGCTAGGAGGAGAGCCCAGCTTCTACACTGATGTCTGCAGTACATATTAGTCAGGGTGCATATCATCCTGTTACAAAGGATCAGTAAAGTGCACCTAGAATCATTCATTTGTGCCACTAGACAACTCTTGAACCTGATATGCTGGATGGCATCATCTCCTTGCAGTTGCTTGAAGAATTTCACCCAAATATGTTTCTGGTTGTCTCCAGTTCCAAAAAGTAATAATGACAAAGACCAAAACTATACTTGGCATGGACAACCCAGATTTAAAATATCTCTCTGATGAGGAAAGTGGCTGTAAAAATGATCCCTTCTTATTCAAGAGATCTACCTTATGTGTGTTCAGAATCAGATCTGCTCCTTTTAATGACATAAACAAGTTCTTACTGCCATTTAGTCCTGCAGAACCAATACCACATGAGGACAGCAAGTGGGATTATTTGTTGCCGCACACATCATCAACAAACCAGTTTGCTGGGAATGATATAAGAGGCAGAAAGAAACCAAGATTTGCAGATCCCAGTGCAGGTTTGCAGCACTGGCAATCTCAAAAATCAGCTTTTGACTACAAAATTGAGCCCATTTGACCATGTATCACTGAGAGAGAATAACTCCAGATCTGGACAGCAGGTGCTGAATCCCTGCACAGAAATGCAGAGTTGTTTTGCTGACTGACCATGGCATCTAGATCATGTGAGTCCTCTTAGCTCCAAACAGGGAGTAGAAAATGAATCGGAGAGTGTCTGAGGCAAAAGGAACTAGAGTTAGGGACAGAGAAAGAGGGGTCCTGCAAGAAACAACCCCTGGAAACAACCAAGTTCAGGTCCAAGAACTGGCAGGAAGCTTATGTTTGCTGTTATTTAAGTTAACAAGAAAGGAAACCACAAGAAAGTGGATAAATCTAGATTAGTTTGCTTGTGTGTACTGTGTAGGAGCAGAGTAGGAACACCACATGCTTATGTGAAATTTAAATAATAGGCTTTGACGGATCATTTCTGATCAATGGTGCTGATTAATGAACAGCTCAAGTAAGGTAGCAAACAAATAAAGAAGGGTGAAGACACAAATTACTGAAGGGGAAAGAGGAGGATTAGAGCATCAGGATGTGGAGTTATGGTAAGGGAGCCCATTAATCATCAGCACTATTATAAAGGACCACATTTTGTGCTGACTTTATGCCCCTTGCAACTCTACTGAAGCCAACACAGAAATTCACCTAAAGTGCACCTCTTAAATCACAATCTGAAGTACCTCACTGCTATCATAAATGAACCTTCTTTAATACAAATAATGAAATGATTAATATGTCTTCCTCCCTCTAAAATACTAACTAAGACTTGGGTGGGTTGGAATACATGTAAATATATATAAATATATATAAAATACCCAAGTTAGTAACATTAATGGAAAGTTTTTAACTAATACTTCGTACTTCCATCGTGCATTCATGGAAGAAACTCAGTGTCTTCAAAATCTTAATTAAGCCTCGCAGCAACCCTGTGGAGTAGATGTTAATATTCTTGTTTTATAGCAGAAGGAACCAAGGTGCAGAGGGGCTATGTGACTTTCCAAAACTCACACAGTGAGTCAGTGGCAGAATCACAGAGAGAACCTAGGAATCCTGACAGCCAGTCCCCTGCTTCCTTACTGTTATTTGTGAAAGCTGTTTTATTTTTTGCCTAATGTTCTCATGCTCCAAAATCCATGTCATCTGTTAGCCTTCCCATCTGCCTCAAGACCCCTTTCCTAGAGTGTTTCTGGATGCTGCTTTCCCCATTGTGTCTTCCCCCCTCTCCCCTCCCACACTCCCCCGGTCTGATCAACCTTCAGTTTCATTGATTTTATATTTTAAATAAAATCATCTGTGTCATGTATCCCACTATAGTATGTTTTTAATATTAAATGAAAACAGCCAAGCTGTTCAGGCCATACAAGAAGCTCTGAAGAAAGAAACAATGAAGCTGGCTAAGTGTTCTGGGACTTACAATTTTCTTCATGCTCTTCACCCAGAGTGGGTTTTTCAAAAGTACCTAAGGGGGAGTAAGGCTCCTAAATCCAGTTGACTTTCAATGGGAGTTCAATACCTGATTCCCATGTGTGATTGTGAACAGCCCATCCCCAACATCCTTTCTTCCTGCCACACTTGGTTATGAACCACAGAGTGAGTGTTGGCCACACCAATAGAACCAAGGATCTGTTAGTTTAGAGTCCCAAACACCAGAGGCACAACAAATGACACAGAAAGAAAGAGGTTTCAGAGTAGCAGCCGTGTTAGGCTGTATCCGCAAAAAGAGCAGGCGTACTTGTGGCCACAAGTACGCCTGTTCTTTTTGTAGAAAGAAAGAAAGGTGTAACAAAATACATATGGCTAACTCTGTCCCTCCTTAGTCTTGATTTATGTGAAACTTCTAGTCAATAGACGTTTTGTCTGGCTGAAGAAGGACTGGGGGCCTGATCCTTTGGTCTTTCTGCCTGAAAATCTATTGTGGGAGTTAAACATGCAGATAAACTGTAGGATTGGATCCCCTGTAAGGACTTCAGGATTTGGACTATAGAAAGGTGGGGAGAGGGGCAGAATAAAAGACAGAATGACATGGATGAAATGTACATAGGAAGCAAGGTCGAAATTAATAGAAGGGGAGATAAGGGGTGTATGGAAAACAAGGTAAGCAGGGAGAAGGGTTGAAAGGAAATCTTATGCTAAATGTTAGCAATGAAATCTAAAACTATGCACATATTGGGCATCATTACACTCTTGATATTCAGCCCTTGATGTTTGTTACTCTGGTTTGTGAACCCTTCAAGCAAATCAGGAGCTGACTCCAAATACAAGTGAAACTCGGTGGTTCTGAATAAGTTTTGTATTGATCTTTCAAATTTGTTTAAATATGAAATTCAAAACAAACTTTAGGGAGGGGTGTGTGCCTACAAAAACTGGAACCTCAGAGAAAATGTGTGCTTGAGCCCCTGCGAAGTGCAACTGCCAAGTGGTGCATCGTGTGTCTGTTTATACAGATCCAGCTTGCCATTAGCCATCATTATTACAAAAGGTGCACATTAAACTGATCTTGAAAGTCTACTTCATGAAATGCAGTATTATAGTGTCATCTAAAATGCACTGAGAGAATACTTAATTGTGTTGGTAGGCACTCATTCCAATGTGTCTGCTATATTGATTAGTGGTTTTGAATATTACTGTGATTAATTTCCTAGCATACATTCTGACCTGCACAGTAATGTTAATTACCTGTGAAATAACAGTGACACTTTGTATCATTTTTGTTCACCTGTGGGTTTTTTTAATCTTGTTGATAAAGCAAATATTCATTTTTCTTCACTGATCCTACTGAAAATCCTGTATTCATGTGAGTAGCACCATTGGCTTCAGTGTGGGCAGGATTGGAGACACTGATGTCCATGGAGCTACTTGCATGAGTAAAGTGAGCAGGATTTAGCTTGTCATCTGCATGTTGGTTTATACACTTCCATCCTCCACAGCCAACTACCAAAGGATTATAATAGTTAGAGAAAGAGAAGTCCTATTAGTCTAGTGATGGATTCAATTGCAAAAGATTTCAAAAATCCCAATGTTTTGTATAGTTCCAATCCAGAGATTTGGTTTAGCCAGTTATAAAAGGAGGAATCGTTGCAAAAGTCAGGTCTGGATGCTGAATTCCCCCTTCTATCAAATATCAAGGATGCTTGGTTCTGAAGGGTTTTTTCGGGCCCATTCTGTATTAGACCATTGAGTTTACCCCCTCCTCTGGGCAGGATTTGGCCTCCAGAGAAGACATTTCAGACATAAAATTGCTACTAAGGTTTGATGTTAGCTGAAAGACTGAGAATAAATTATCTCCCTGGTTGGTTTTTGTCACTAAAGTAGCACCCACTGGTGTCCAAATGAGGAAGTAGGTGGAGTTTCTGCCTTTGGACTGATACACTTTTATTTTAGCCACTGTTTCTGTGATACAAAGAAAGCAGGAGGAGAAAGACAGGTCCTTTTCCTTCCTTCACCTGTATTTTAGTTTAGAGGCAGCTCTTTCTGTCTTCTCCTCTGAGCAGGGTTAGATGACATGATGGGAAAAATTCTGGTGCCTTTTCTACACTACGGCACCTGCTGTTGCTCAGTGCAGCTGCAGTCATAGCAGGCAACCTGCAAGACCAGGAAGAAATTCTATTGTGTGAAGTTTGCTGCTTCATTCCCCCTATCTTACCTACCCAAAATAGTTTGGATGGTTAAGCCATGGAGACGAGGGACTGGAATCTATCCTCATTTATAGCTGGGGTTGCCCAGATGTAACAGAGGACAGAATTTTGCCCTGCTAGGCCTCACTCTGCCATATAGATGTGGAGAATACTGATTAACTTTGCAGCAAATTCTCTCACTCTTGATAAATTATTAACAATTCCCCCGTCTCCTTTCCTTTTGTTTCTTTCCAGTACAGACACAGCCTCTCTCTGTCCCCTGCCCCAATGAATGTCTGCACTAGGGCCAAGGCTTGGAGTGATTTACCTGAAGAGTGACACCATTTGGAAACCACTGTAAGTAAATTTTATGTCCTACAAAAGACTTCTTGTTTCAGCAAAAAGGAAACAAAAAACACCCGAAAACCTTCAACACCTGGCCATTGCTGGTGAACACGAGCTAAATTTTACATTACACATTTACCTGGGAAGTAAGTGGTAAAAAACATACCAGTAAAAAAGTTGTTAAGTATTGGCCTCATGTTGTAGTTCAGCAGTGGTTTGACCTCTGTGCATCTTCTAGTTGTGCACCGCTCTGTTTAGGAGCCCCCTGCCTATTACTCAAGTTTAATGTGGTGTCTTCATGTCTCTCAGTGGAGTTTTGCCCTGTTTTTTATTAGATTTCTTTGTCTTTTGTAGAGCTACTAGTCTGATGCGATCAGTGCATATTATTTCTTGTTGCAGTTCCATGCAATGCAGTTTAGTTTCCCTGCAACTCATTAAAGTTTTGAGCTGCTCTTGTCAAGTCTCAATGATTCTTGTAGTTCTGTATAATTCAGGTTGGGTCTCTGTGTGTCACTGTAGTTTTGCAGAAGCTTGGTTGGACTATGTGCTTCTCAGTGAAGCTTCCTGATGTTCTCAGTGGGTTTTCTGCTTCTTGTAGTTTCACAGTGTTCTGAAATGATCTCTTACCGGCTGCCCTGGAGGGCATAATCTTATAGTTTTAAACTGTAATGGGCAGATCTCTGTTCCTCTTAATACAGGTTTTTTTTTTACTGTTCTAGTGAAATTGACTTGATTCTCACTTGTAGCTTCCTGCTTCAATGCACAGGTTTTTGTGCCTCACATGATAGTTTTATCCTGCTCGGGTTGGATTCCAGTGCCATTCTTATCAAGCCTCCCTACCTCCCATCCCAGTTTTGTGTTCTGTTCTGATTTCTCTGTCTCTTGTAACTTTTTATGGTGCTGCTTTCAGAATTCTGTGTATCTTTCCATCTTAGTTTTGTGGTCAGGTATCTGGTCAGACTTCTATGCTTCTCTCGGGGTTGGTTGGTTGGTTGGTTTTTAACTGAACATACTCATATCTCTGTCTTGCATAATCAGTTTCTAACCACACATCACATATTGTCAATGTCACATCTGAGAGAGGGTCAGGACTCACAGTGAGAAGCACTGATATCAGGAGTGGCATGAGTATCATACATGCAGGTGGGAGATGAATGTGTAGTAAAACACTCAAAAATATTGCTTAAAAATTCTGAAGAATAGCTTGTTCTCTCTTACATTTTTAAAACAGGAAAGGCCAGATGCCTCGATTTATATATATACTGTGTGCACTAACTATGTTAAAGCCAAATTATGACTCAAAAAGCCAGTGGAATGCTTGCTTGGGTACTACAGATGCTGCTCTCAGAGGGCAGTGGCTGGAGGGAGACATTATGCCTCTGTTAGGCATAATACTTGGAATGTGGAGGGCGGAAACTCAGTCAGTAGCAGTCTTTGTTACATCATTAGCAATCCCCTGGCATTGTCCTCCAAGCACTAGCTGGTATTCCAGGGAGCAGGGCTTGATCATGACCCAGCCCATCCAGACATACTCCTTAGGGTGTGTAGTGCTGCTAGCAGTGCTAACATATCCTTGACTATGCGGAGGGTCACCTGGAGCCATGTGCCCCCCCCCCCCCCTCAGATTTCTGCTAGGGTTTGTTTGCCCTGCCGTGAACCCTGCTGCATACCACCAAAACCTTTAAATTGTGCCCACTCCCTCCCCCCAACTATCAACAGTTATGTGGCATCTCTGCTTGACCCCTTGTGCTTAGAGAGTGTAAATGGTCTTATTATGACTACCTCCTTTACAGATGCACTAGGGAAGGCAGGGCTCATTCTAACCTTTTTGTCACCTCCCGTTCCCAGTGCATTCACACAGGAGCAATCATAATTTGACCATTAAATAATAATTCAATTTTGTATTTCTCACTGAAAAGCTTTACTCTACAGAATGGAGCAGGTACCTGCTCTGTGTTTTCTCTGCTGCCATAGCACCCCAGCCTTGCCCGCGAATAAGTCCCTTTTCTAGAGGCTGGAGAGTTCAGCCTCCACCTTTACCAGCTCACCGCCTCCCCATGCTAACAAATGCTGATCTGAAGGGCCCTAGGCATCTTGGTTACCTTTGGGCTCACCTATACCTTGCTCAATTTAGCTGTTTGATAATGTGTTGTGCTCTGTGATGGGGCTTAAGGAAGTAACTAGTAGAAACTCATAAAAAAAACACTCAGCTGCCCTGTCTCATACATTAATCCCAGATCACGCCGGAGTGAAGAGTAAGCAGGAGAAATTGAATCCTTTTAATAACCTACATCAGTTGAAATGGGCTTGACATGCTTCTAAAAGTGAAGAACCTCAGACACAGCGCATTTGGGTCTATTTCCAGAACTGGGATTCGGGCCTATGTCTGTTTCAAAGGGCCTCAAATGTTCGCTAGCTGACATGTGGGAAATGCTAGCAGCTGAGCAAACTAAATTGCCTGTCTGTGAGGGAGACCAGACTGAGAGGTTTGCTTGTTGTGACATGTTAATACATCTGGGGGAAATTAATCCCAAACACAGATAATTGTTGTGAGGGAGAAACCTGGGGAGACAACGTTTGAAAGAGACTGAGGAGGATTGCTGGACAGCAAATTGCGTGTGAATTTGCAATGCAATATGGTAGCAAGCAAAATAAGTACAATTTTGGGTTTGAGAGGCATCCTGAAGCAAGGAAATAGGCCTCCCTACCTGTATAGCTCTGATTGTTCCACACCCAATCAGTTCTGATCCATTCTGCCTTTAAAATAGACAGACAAAAAAATCTGTGCTACTCTACATTCAGTGCCTAACATCATGTTGAAGCTGCATTATTGTGAGATGTCAGGTTTCTAGACCTTTATGAAAGAATGCTGCAGTGCTTATATACATAAAAGGGGGGATACTTTGTTACCAAAAAGATATTGGCACTTCGGAGGGATGAGAGGCTGGTGGGACTGATTTACAAGAAAAGTTTGAAAGACCTACTAAATAAGTGCAGTTTGGTTAAGTGATGACTAATACATGGTGGGGCCTTGATAACAGTCTATGGATATTTGAAGAGTACACAGCCAAGAAAGAAGGGGGAATATTTTAAGTGGTGAATATCATGAAACACTTCCCAAGAGATCAGAGGGGTAGCCGTGTTAGTCTGAATGTGTAAAAAGCAACAGAGGGTCCTGTGGTATCTTTAAGACTAACAGAAGTATTGGGAGCATAAGCTTTTGTGGGTAAGAACCTCACTTCCTTCATCTGAAGAAGTGA